ATTTGCAGCGTCATTGTGCTGAATTGCGTATGGGCGTGGTCCGTGACTACCTAGCAGCCGTAAAGAGGCGCTTCTTGGTAGTTACAAGTTCACATCATTCCACAACGACAGGGGCTGAAAAAATGAACCATAACATCAGGGTAACCCCTACCTACTCTTCCGAAAGATGCAATGGTTCTTTAAAGTGCACACGAGCCAAATGTATACACTGGACCTCCATTTTAAGTCCTTAGGCCCCATAAAAAAAATTATTATCACCCTATCAAAGAATAAAAACTGATGAGGGAGGGAGCTTTTTTTTTTGTTTTTGCTAATCCCGCCCCCATTTTACCAATGATCACAAGTAAATCAATGGTTAGAGACACATATAAAAAGTCATAAGAATGGAATCAAATTTATATTTAAAAAATATGTTTTTGTTGTACCAGTAAACATATTTGCAAGAAACCCTGAGCTTTTCAAGTGAAAAAAGATGGAAAGGCGACCCATGATTTAAAATGTTGATTGAAAAAAAAAAAAAAAAAAAAATCAGATTTTTCCGAAAAAGTGATGAGGGAGTGGGTGATAAACTATTAATTTTTTTTTACGGGGCCTTATTAGCCAGGGATCATAACATTCATATAAAAAGGCGGAATACTAACTCGGGGAATATCTTGAAAAAATAGTCTAGTCCTACAACCATTCCAGGGTTGCCATTCGGCCTTTTTGACGGCCAGATTCCTCAAATCTGGCCGTATAAAAATTTGCCTGGCCGTAGCATTTGAAAAGTCACGGCCAAACTAAATTTGGCCGAATTTGGCCGAATTTTTGAAAAGCTTACATTTTTTTTTTCAATATCGGCCTAATATAACGTAGACTTGTTTTGGATATTTTGTTTTTGTTAGCTTAAATTCTATATTTGATTCTAATCTTGTACATTTGTTTGTACTTGCACTAAACACTTAATCTGTGTTCCCCGATTCAGCCGATTTGACGTAAGAGACTCTTATTTAAAAGATAACAGTTACATTTAATAAATTGTTTGGATGAAATATATTGTTTATAAGGTTTATCCTCGTTTAAGGTTCATGAAGACAGTTCATTGCAAGTTTGTACCGTACCATATTGTGTGTCTTTGTATATGTTCCATCTTACTAATGGAGGTTCTATCTCTTTTGAATTTCTTTTGAATATAAATTAAATATTGTACTTTAATTAATTTATTATTGCCCACTTTAAATTGCCCTAGGTGCCGTAGTGTTCTTTATGTAGAGAGCACCATATGCTCGATGTGATCATTCGGGTCCGATGGCACCTCCCATTTCAAGCAAGTTTTGCAGAGACTTCTTCGAAGTTACTCTGGAGTTAGGATGCATATGAGAATGAAGAAGATAATTCTGATAGCAAAATTGATTATATGTTTTAAGTACTGCGACAATAACATTCAGAGGCGAATTTCGAAAGTTTAGATAAAAAGTATTTATTAAAGTTTTCATAGGTTTGTTTTAACGCCAGTTTGTGTTACCTAACTATGTAACTTAATTCATTCTAATTAAAGAGAGCCACAGATTTGCCAATAAAGGCCTTTAACATTTTTGCTATAGATAGACTACAATGTACATTAATATTTAATACATTTAAATCAAATTTAGATCAATCTTAATATTGTGATTTTAAATAGCAGAGGTGGATTTAAGTGGAGGGGTGGTAAAAAAAAAATAAATAAATAAAAATTGATCGCTCAAATGCATCAGGTTATTTTCGGGCGTCTAGAAAAGACAAATTTCCTCTAAGATGGTGTTATCTCGATCGGACCCACTTTCGCACCCCCTCCCCCTTCCTCCCCTTTTTTTCGGCCCCGGCCCTCCCCTTTCGGACATCTCTGGATTTTCCCCTGAATTGGCCTGCATGCCAGCAACTAAAGAATATGGCTATATATTTAACATTGTTCTGTGTATATCATTTGAATTTCTTCAATTTCAAACGAATGACCGCTGATTTTCGTATAATTTTTGTAGTATTTCAAATGAATGTACCCACTGTTGTCTTC